CCGCTGGCAAACCAAGTTGCGGGCTGGTGGGACGATTGCGCGAGCAGGGGCGTTGACGACCCAATTCGAGCAAAAAGTAGTCGCACCGCACATATCTTGCCACCTAGAGCGCGCAACATGGAATGCACTAGCAGGATATTAGGATCTCCCCCCCTCCCCCCCTCCGTCCCCCCCCCGTTCCCCCTTTCCCCCCCCTCTTCTCCTGGAATTGATGTTTCCCCTTTTCGCGTTTCAATTTGCATATGATTCTGCCTCATCGCCCATCCCAAAAATGAATTCATGATCTCCCTGGCAGGCCGGTATCGGCACCCCCCATCATCTTTCGCCAAGACATAGCATGCGCGCGCACTCGTTTCTCAAAAATCAGCAGTTTTCAAGAATCCCTTGCAACAAAAACGGAACGCCGGACGCACTCGCGCTCAATCGTCACGCATGTCGGGATCGTTCGGACGCCCTCGCGCGCGTGCTGTCGCAAGAACCATTTGCAAAAACGGGGCGAAGTGCACGTCGCGCGCGCATGCCGCAATCCTTCAAAAATTGTCGATGTTTCGCAAGGACTGCAAAATCAAACGTTCCGAACATATTTTTACATAGAGAAGACTAGCAGAAATAATTGTCAAAGAAACTTGCGTCTGGGCTCTTGAGAAGTCTTAAGACAATCACAGGTTGTCAACATCTTCATAACTTGCTACCAAGCGGGTTTCTCGCGTGCGCATGTCGGAATCACGCGGACGCCGTTGCGCGCGTGTTGTCGCAAGAATCCTTTGCGCAACATGGGGCGAAGTGCGCGCGCGCGCGTCGTTGCTCGCGCATGCCCGGATCTTTTAAACAATTGAAGTTTCGTGAAAATTAAAAAATCAAACGTCACGAACACACATAAAAACATGGCTTCGCAGAAATAAGTGTCGCAACAGCTTGGGTTCGGGCTCTTGCGAATTCTAAAAAAGCATAGGTTTTCCACATCGTCTTAACTTGCTACCAAATGGGCCTCTCGCGCGCGCATGTCGGAATCGCTCGAACGTCCTTGCGCGCCTGCTGTCGCAAGAATCCCTTGCAGAAGGCGGGATGAAGTGCACGCGCGCGCGCCGTCGCGCGCGCATGCCGAGATCTTTCAAACATTCCACGTTTCGTACGGCTTTCAAAATCGACGGCCCCGAAACAGTCAAAACGCAGTGTTTTGCAACGCCAGTTTGGAAACATGCTTGCTATCGCGCTCCTGCGAATTCTTGGGGAAACCATGTTGGTTGTTTTCAGGTTCATCAAATTCGGCCAGACGGGCTCCTCGCGCCGCACTTCGAAATCATTCGAACGCCCCTGCGCGCGGGCTGGGAGGGGGGGCGCGATCCATGTCAAATAAGACCGTGCGGGCCATTTGTTGCGCGTCGGCCGCGCGCGCATGTCGAACTCGTTCCAAAACCTTCATCACCGACGTGAGGACGCCGTCATCGTCGTCGGCGTGATCAGCATTTGCTCCGTCACGGGCCTTGCCGTCGTCGGTGTCATCATCGTCGCCAGCGTCGCCGAAAATTCGCACATGCTATACATGTATGTCTTCCGATGGAGATGGGGCGATGGTTGCCTCCTAGAGGTCTGTTGGGGGGATCTTGGAGGCCTCTTGGGGCGTCTTGGGGGCCTCTTGGACCATCTGGGGGCCATCTGGCGCGTCTTGGACCGATCGCTCGGCGACTCGAGGCCCTCTTGGACCGTCTGAAAGGCCTCGCGGAGTCATCTTAGCCCGTCTTGGGGCCCTCTTGGGGCACTCTGGGGACGTCCTGGGCCCCCTTGGGGCGCTTGCGACTCAGCCCCCCGCCGGGCCCGAAATCAAGGCATATTCGTTTTCGATGCATCTCAATGCTTCTGTGTTAATGCAGCAATGTGCATGTACATCTATGCTACTTATCATAAGAATATAACAGCCCTCGAAATGTGGCACACCAGAACTAGTGTCCCACACACTGCACCCAAGTAAGATGAGTTGCGTATCGTACGTGCACTCCGCAAGGTGCTTCCCATGCAATGCACCACAGAAGTTGGCCCCACACATTGCACCCTGTAAGTTGCGCAACGTCAGAACGTTTCACAGTACGACGCCGAACATAGCATCATTTCCTACATGTTGCGGCATTCATTGGCGTGTATGTACCCACCAGCTTGAAGACAACAACATCGCTGGGCGATCTCAAGTCAAAGGAGTTGATGATGAAGAGGGAAGGATTATGAGGTGACAAGGTCGGATCGCTCTCGTCGGCGGCGTTGCCCTCGTCATCGTCAGCGTCCGCGCCGTCGCATCACTTCCGCTGTTCTGCCGGTCTTCGTACAGGTCCTGAGCGGGCTGGACAGCCTGCACAGGCGGGGCATCATGCACCGCGATATAAAGCCGGAAAACGTGCTCTTGGCCGGCAGCGGAAGCAAGGCAGGGCAACGGGGTCGTCGTCTTCGCCGCCGCCGCCGCCGCCATTGTCGTCTGGCGGCGGAGGCAGGGCGCGGAATTGGGACAGTTGCTCCAGATTTCGTAATAAAAGGGAGGGGGTCTGGACCCTCCAAGACAAGCCACTTCAGACCCTCCCCGTGGGAGAACCCTCCAAAACATCGTCCCCAGACCCCCCCCAGGCCCTCCAAGATAGCCTGGAAGAGACCCCCCCCGAAATGAGACCCCCTCCCTTTTATTACGAAATCTGGAGTATCGTGAGCAGGAACAGCAGCCGCTGGTCGTCGCCGCCGTCGGCGGCATCGTCGTCGAGGGTCGAGGACCGAGGCGTTGCTCGCGTCTTTGGTCTTTTGTGGGCCTCCAGGGCCCTGTGGAGGCATGCCATGCCAGTTCACAGCGTACAGATCACACGCCGCGCGGCCAGGATCGACTTGTACGTGTGGGCGTGAAGCATCGGATTGTACGCGCGCCGAGTCGTCCCGACCAGAAACCCATGTGACTGCTAACGTGCATGCGGCAGCGCCCTTTGCGTTGTGAAGCATGTTTGGTGGTCGCGAGTGGCGTATGCGTGCGCGCGGGATCTGGTTTGTGTGAGGCTGCGCATGCCTTGCAGATGCCAGAGTTGCTTTCAATAGTTTCTGCTGGTCCACATCGTTTGATGTTGGCTCTGATCTGGGCCATGGTTGGACATGTGCATACATATCTGCTACAGATATCAAGCGTCAAGCATTTATGCGATTGTGACCGTCCAGACAGCGTGACGCAGTGACGCGGGTTCTGCACATACTCAGCCGTTCAACACGCCTATGACCGCACGGCATATGGACGGGCACAGTGGAGCATGGTGACCTGGTAATGCCAGTCGGGCGTGCACTTTGTGAGTACGTGACGATTTGGGTTTGCATGTCCATCGGTCGATCGGTATCCCCTGTCTCTCGCGTTCTCTGTATGTATAAATATACAGATATACACATGCACATATCGGTCGTGCTCTCTCTCTCTCTCTCTCTCTCTCTTTATCACTTTGTTTGTTTGTTCTCTCTCTCTCTCTCTCTGTATATATATATATATATATATTCATACAACGATATGTCTGGTTCTGTCTATCCACTCCTCGTCTTCATTATCCTCCTCTCGCTCGTTCCTGCTTATTCTCGTTTCTTCTCCTTCGGAATCTGCTGCTCCTGCTCCTCATCACCATCATATCCGCAGAGCAATATGCACCCCCCAGGACTCCTTCGAATCCCGAAAGACCCGTAACGCACAAACGACACATGTTGAAACAATTATCTTCCTCTCCTTTCTTCCTCCCACTCGCACGCTAGGGCAGCTACGCCGTGCAGCGAGGAGAAGATATGCCCCGAGCCACTCGTTGCCAGCTGAACTGTGGTACTGGCTTGCACAGCACGTCACGAAGCAGATTACGGGGGAGTGGCCCTTCACACATCACATGACGGATGCACACTTGCAAAATGTGGAGTCCCGCATGCACGTTCACTGCCCGAACTTCGCGGAGCGACTTCGGAGGCTATTCAGACAATTTAGGGTGAAGTCTAGGACTCCGTCGTGCTGGCACTGGAGTAGGACCTTTCAGCTCTCCAAGGGGAACCTCAAGCGGGGCACGAAGGCCATGCGACTTATTCATTGCTATTGTCCGATGGGGAAAGCTTGGTATCGGGGCCTCTACCTTCGCAGTGATCATCCTCCCCTGCCCCCGCACGCACATGGATATGCAGCACATCGAGCACGACAAAACGCACAATTGGTTGCAAAAATACACAGTTGGAGGTTGAAGAAACTGGGGATATCACACATACTCGTCAAAAAGGACATGTCGAATGCGTTTCCCTCGACCTCGCACGAGGAGCTTGCGCGCACGGTCTTAGAGGTTATTCCGCACCCGCAGGATCGTGCCTATTTTCATCAACGGCACGAGGAGGCGGTGATGGAGATCAGGGCGGGGGAGGAAGTGGGGTACTATCAACCGACGCATGGATCTGGGATGGGGGACGGGAACGCTTGCGAGCTTTTCGTGCGTAGCTTTCTTCGCCCTGTGGAGGCCTGGCGGGACGAGCTACTAGAGCAGCCGGATTTGTTCCAAGTGGCACGACAGTCCCAACCAGTGCCTCTCTGCAGGGCCGCCAACATCATGACGTGCGCGCTGACTAATGTGATGCACGACGTCTCAGTCAGAGACTATGCAGATGATATACATCAGACCGTACCCTTGTGTGCCCCGAACCCTGTAGAAGCAAGGCAAAAACTTCTGGCGTCTAACCTGATCCTGGACAGAAAGCTGGAGGAGGGAGGCGGTTTTTCTCAGAACCCCGACAAGGAGGTGTGCATGCCAGTTATGACGGGCCCTGGGGCATACACGGCCACTCGAGTATTACTTGCCAAAAGTATTGCTGTGCCTGGGGTGGTGGCTGCAGAGAGTCTGTATCTGGGAGGGATGGAACAGCTAACGGGCGGGAGTGCAGCAGAAGTCAGGCGGAGGGTGGAGGCGACGAGGTCAGCATGGAGGAGGATGGGCAGGTTCTGGGAGGTGACACATTCTATTCGATTGAAGAGGATGGCGTTTAAAGGCATCATCTTGTCGGCTGCATACTCGGGGTTGGAGACCTACCTTCTCAGTAAGCAGGACCTCCGCCGACTGGATGCCGTCGTCCTGGGCTTCGCGAGAGTAGTATTGCGCGATCGCAAGCCTGAGATTATAGAAGGCGCTCCAGACGGGGCTCGACTGAAGTACCGCTCCCTGTCCGAGAGCACGCTGCTGACAAAAATGCGCATCACCAATGCCCGAGCAGAGCTGCTGGTCCGAAGGCTCCGCCAGTGGCAACGGTTTGTCGAGTATCCCCAGGACAGCAGGCAGCCCTTGGTAGCGCTCTTCGGGACCTTGGAAGGCTTGGAGGAGGCCGACACCTTCCTGGAGGACGGGACGGTGAGCCCGTCCGCGAACCCGTGGGCCCAGTTGCTTCAGAAGGACCTTCAGGCCTTGCAGTACCTCGAAGGGGGCCCCGAGTTCCTGGCTGAGTACACGGTTCGGGACATCTTCACGAGGGACATGGTGGGTAGGCTCTTCTGCAGGTTCAATCCAGAGAAGCTCAGAAAGGTACCAGAGGTTCGAGGCCCCCGAGGTAATAATCACACAGAAGACCCCGAGCAAGACCCTCCAGAGGTGCATGTTTGTGAGCTCCCAGGAGACGATCCAGAGGTTGTCTGTGGGCAGGTGTTCTACAGCAAGGGGGCTCTGCGGGCGCATCAGGTGCATCATCCCTCACATAGATTGCGAGTCCCCGCCCATTTACTCGTCGTCACCAACCAGTGCCCCTATTGCATGTCCACGTTCAAGAGCGAGGTCACGGCCAAACGTCATGTTGCCATGTCACTACGAAAGCGCCGATGCATCACAGATTGGAGCCCATATGCACCCGAGCCTATCGTCCCGTCTGATATCCACTGCCCCTTCTGCCTGGATATCGACACGACCCCCGAATGCTTCGTTTGTAACATGCCACCTGGCACAAGAAAGATAGGGGCCTTTGAGAGCCTTGCAGAGTTACATATACACATTCGGGAAGCACACGCACCACCTGCACCTGATCTGATTTACTACGAGACTCCGCCTGATGGATCTGGCCTCTCGCGCCCTCAGCGTCGGAGGGGCAGACAGGGCCGCCGCCTTGCGCTCACGCAGCGGGGAGCGAGGCGCGGGCGCAGCACGGAGAGGCGGCCCGAGGCCCAGCAGGGAGCGCCCCCCTGCAGGAGGCCAACAGAGGCGCGGGCCTGCGGCGGAGCCTCCGCCCGTGGCCGCGGGCGCGGGGCTGACGGTGGGTGCAGGCCTGCCTGCCCCCGCCGCGGTGGCGCACGCGGCGGCGGGAGGCGCGCTGCCACCACCTCCGCAGCAGCAGCAGCATCAGCGCCAGCAGCAGCCGCCTCCACAGCAGCAGCGTCAGGGCGGCAACATGAACCAGATGCTAGCGCAGCTCTTCGACGCGGCCGACAACAGCTACGGCCTCAACCGCGGAGACGTCCTCCGCCTCGGGGACGAGCCGATGCCGATCGAACTTGTGCAGGCGATCATGCCAGTACTGGTCAGGTCGATGTTGCACACGCGGCAAGGGCTGGCGGCGCTGGAGTCGGTGGTCTTCAACATCGCGCACCTGCAGGCGGACCACGAAGTGTGCCAGGCGATGCGGCTGACGGGCAGGTACTTTGTGCAGGAGGCGCAGCGCCTCCGCCTCCAGCATCGCCAAGAGATTCAGAATGGAGTGAGGGTCGTGGAGCTAGACAAGCTCGGTGTACCACATCCTCACTTATGGCTCACATTAGTCGGGGCATTGCAGCAGCAAGGAGATCGAGTGGGTGCGCAGACGGCAGTGAGAATCAAGACCTACTTGGACACAGTGAAGGCCGACCAGAGCATGACCAACGAGACGCTGGACTCTCACTGCAGGTTCTGCAAGATAGGCTTCACGCACGATCGGGCGACGATGAAGATCTTCCTGGAAGCCAGCGGTTCAGGGATCCAAGTGGAAGTACTCGCGGGCCTCGTCCAGATCGGGGCGAGCATCAAGAGAGGGACGCCTCCGCGGTCCCACCAGGAGATGCTGATGCAGTTGGCGCTGGATGGAATGGAGAACCTCAGTTCGTGAGTGATCTGAGGCATCCTGAGACCCGCCCAGTTCGAGGCGCTGCCATCAGAGCGGCGCCACCACGCCCTGCTGCCCGTCCCCGCCAGCCACCAGCAGATGCACCCGCACGAGGCGGGTCCTCCACCTCCACTCGTCCTCGCCTCACCTCTTCCTCCTCCCTTGACGATGCGATCTTCCGTCTCATTAATGGCCCCGTAAGGAGGGGGGAAGGAGGAGCCCGACGGTGACAATGCTGTTGGGGTAGCCTCGGCCCGAATTTACGGTCCCCCTCTCCTGGGCCCAATTTTTTGGCTTTTGAGTTTCGGTTCTGCGTTCCTGTGCCTTTGTTCCCTCCTGGGTGCTCCTGGGACCTCTCCTGTGTGTTGGTAGTCTTGTAGTTTTGTCGAGGCCTACGCGTGGCCTGGCCCCAGGGTTTTCTCCGAGCTGGGTTAGCCGTGGCACGCGGGCCCCCCCCCTCCGTGCGAACGCACCGCTATTCGTTAGCGCACTCTAGGCGCTTGAGCTGTCCTGCGAATGCCCCGTGTTAGAGCAGCCAGACTCGTGCACCTGCAGAGCTCCGCCGCCGCCTCCCACTCCTCTCCTCCTCCTCCTCCTCCTCCTCCTCCTCCTCCTCCCCTCCTCCTCCTCCTCCTCCTCCTCCTCCTCCCCTCTCCTCCTCCTCCTCCTCCTCCTCCTTCTCTCCTCCTCCTCCCTCCTCCTCCTCCTCCTCCTCCTCCTCCTCCTCCTCCTCCTCCTCCTCCTCCTCCTCATTCACCTCCTCCTCATCCTACGCACTCTCCTCCCCCCAGTCCCGTTTTAACCAGAGTTGGACCGCACCCCCATCTCCGCAAGCGGCCGCCGAGCAAGCGGGAATTGGCCTGGCCTCGCCCACAGCTGGGCAGGAGCGTGGGAAGATTCCCCCCTCCATCCTCCCCATCCCCTCCTCCTGCCTCCCTTCCTACTTCCCTCGAATAGGAACACCACAGCATGAGCATAAACTTTCAGGGTCCGCGCGGATTTCTTAGATCGGCGCTGAGACCCCCTCCTTGGCGCGCAGGGAGCGCGCCAGGCGCGGTGCCGGAGGCGCCGCCAGGGGGGTCCAGCGCCGATCCAAAAAATCCGCGCGGACTTCCGAAAGTTGATGTCCATGCCTGTTTGGTTCTTCCTCTATCCCGTATCCCCCTCCCGGCATAGGGGGCGCGCCAGGCTTGTGAGGTCAGCCGTAAACGCGACGAGCACAGGCGCTCGTCAGGGCGCAACGTAGGGGTGCACCTGCGGTGCTGAAGCTGTTGACCCGCACCCCCGCGCGCCGATCCCGTCCCCCCCCCACGTCCCTCTTCCTGCTTTCCCGCCCCGTGCGTTTTGTCTTCCTGCTGCTGGCAGGTGAAGCTGGTGGACTTTGGGCTCGCCTCCGTGGTCTGGGACGAGCAGGCGGCCGTCGCCAGGCGACCGCCCGCCGCCGCCTGTCGGCCCCGAGGGAGGAGGCCGGCAGCCTCGACCTGCATCCGCCGCGCCCTCCTCAGCCTCCTCCTCGCCTCCCCCCCTCCTCCTCCTCCTCCTCCTCCTCCTCCTCCTCCTCCTCCTCCTCCTCCTCCTCCTCCTCCTCCTCCCGCCTCCTCCTCCTCCTCCTCCTCCTCCTCCCGTCCTCCTCCTCCGTCCTCCTCCTCCTCCCCGCCTCCTCCTCCTCCTCCTCCTCCTCCTCCCTCCTCCTCCTCCTCTCCTCCTCCTCCTCCTCCTCCTCCCCTCCTCCTCCTCCCCTCCTCCTCCTCCTCCTCCTCCTCCCCCCCTCCTCCTCCTCCCCCTCCTCCTCCCCCTCCTCCTGCTCCTCCTCTCCTCCTCCTTCTCCTCCTCCTCCTTCCCTCCTCCTTTTCCTCCTCATCCTTTTCGGCACTTCCCCTCTCCCTCTTCCCCTCGTCTTCCTCCCGCCCCCCATCCGCCTCCCCCTCTCCTCCTCGCCTCCCCTCTCTCCTCTTCCCCCCGCCTCCTCCCCCCTCGCCTCCTTCCTCTCTCCAGCTCGTCGGTTTTCCGCCCGGGCTCGCGTTCGGCCGATCCCGCGGCGAGATACGAGTCCACGATGTTTCCACATCCGTGTCCTACGCACCTCTGGGTGTATGTCTTCTTGCTTGCTTGCCTACCCCTCCCCTTCCTGGACCGCCCTCCCTCGTCCTCTCCCCTCTCCTCTCTCAGAGAAGGAACAATGTCCTGGTATCGCTACGCTGACCCTCGTCGCCACGGCTGGATTCACCTCGATGTGCTGGTCGGGAAAGAACTCCTGGCTTGAGAGGTCTGGGGAGCAGCGGTAGCGGTATTTTTCCCGGAAAGGGCATAGGCCCAGGGTTCTCTTTTAGTTGGTTTCCCCCCGGTTTTGACGGCTGTAGGGCCGGCGAATTTCTTTTGCGATAAATAACAAGGTCGCGTAGGGCCGGCGAATTAAAAATTGAGGATGTCCCTAGCGAAACGCTTGTTTTTCAGCATTTGTTGAGGATGTCTCAAGCGAAACACTGGTTTTGCAGAGTTGGGGATGTCTCGAGCGAAACGCTTGTTTTCAGAATGTGATGAGGATGTCTCGAGCGAAACGCTGGTTTTGCAGAGCCGACCGCGACGCGGGATAGCGCCCCGCGCGCAGGAATTCGGAGGATGTTTCGCGCGTGCCGCGTCCCGCGCGCAGGAATCTCGAGGATGTCTCGACTAATTCGCTTGTGTTGCTAGGATTTCCTTGAATTTTGGCAGGATGTCTCGAGCGAAATGCTTCTTTTCATAATTTGTTGAAGACGTTTCGAGCACGTTGGTTTTGCAAAATTGGGGGATGTCTCGAGCGAGGGCCTCGTGGGGGGCCAGAATTCAGAGGATGTCTCAGGCGAAATGCTTGTTTTCACGTCCCGCTCGTAAGAATTTCGAGGATGTCTCGCGCGTGCCGCGTCCCGCGCGCAGGAATTCTGAGGATGTTGGCAGGTTGTCTCGAGCGAAACGCTTGTCCCCAGCACGTTCCGTAGCGCGTCCCCTTGGCACGTCCCGCGGTGCGTCCCCATGGCACGTCCCTTGGCACGTCGCTTGGCGGGTCCCTTGAGACGTTCCGCGCGCGTCCTCCTGGCATGTCCCCTTGTCAATTAGCTCTGGGGCAGCTACTATGTGTTCAGGCAGCTCGAGCTTAAGATCCAGATCAGTTCGGTCAGGACTCGGATGCAAAGGAGGACTCGATCCACGACGCTATAGAGCACAATCGCGGCATGGCACATCGCAATTCAGCACGGTGCAGCACAGCACGGCCCTCGGCAGGGTACATCAAGATCGTACACTCAGCATTGCAACTTGGCACGTTCCTTGGCACGTTCCGTGGGGCGTCCCTTGGCGAGTCCCCCTGGCACGTCGCGTGGCGCGTCCCCTGGCACATCCCGTGGTACATCCATTGGCACTTTCCGTAGCGCGTCCCCTTGGCACGTCCCGCGGTGCGACCCCATGGCACGTCCCCTGGCACGTCGCCTGGCGCATCCCTTGGGGCGTTTCGCGGCGCGTCCTCCTGGCATGTTCCCCTGCCCATTAGCTCTGGGGCAGCTACTATGTGTTCAGGCAGCTCGAGCTTAAGATCCAGATCAGTTCGGTCAGGACTCGGATGGAGGACTCGATCCACGAC